AGCAGCTAACTCGTGACACCGCAAAAGCTATCCACCACACATGCAATGGCCTTGTTGAACTTTGTAGACGGTTACTTCAGTCCTCTCATCAATATGTCATGTTTGGTCAATTTTCGATTGATCCATTGGAGAAAGAATTCAGCAAATTGCGACAGGGCTCAGGAGGGGCCTACTTTATTAACATTCAGCAAATTGTTGAAAAATCAAACATTCACAGATCAAGATTACTTCTTTCTCTTGATGCAGACCTTTCAAACCTTGAAGAACCTGGTCATTCCTGCTCCGATTGCAATTTTAACATTGAAACAGACGAGAGGGCTTCAGAAACAGTGGACAATCTAATTGAGTTGGAGGAGTCACTTTGTACAGAGACAAAATCTGTGCTGGTATATATTGCTGGCTATGCTACTCGCAAAGACGAAGAGCTGGATGAAATTTCTCAACTCGGACAGACAACCTTCTACTACCAAAAGTACGGCCACTACACAAGCTCCTTGGATAAAGGCGGCTTGAATATCCCTTCTGACAGGGCATGTCAATGTTAAAGACCCTGTTTGCAGAACATCTTTCTGCAAGTTAACCATGGCGCTGTTTGACAGTTTTGAGTTCGAAATGAAAGAGAAACACGGGCAGATTCTAGCGAACATCTTTTTTAAAAACTATTGTTACGCTTCCACTCCTCGCTCTTCAAAAGAACCTACATTGAAAATTTTGAAATTATCATAATTGAACAGACATACACTGCAATCCATTGAAAAAGGAAACTGATATTAGAAGGCATGATATTTATAAGGCATGTACAGTAGATAGATCTAGTCATGACTAATTTAGATTGTTTTATATGGACGTTGATTTCTTGTGTTTATAAAAATGATTTTTTCCCCAAATTACACAACAGATCTAATAGTAATAGGGCTCAGCAATAAATAAATAACTATTAGTAGCTCTTTATTTTTATGTCACTTCGGACTAAATACTGTAGGCCTAATTACCTTTGGAAATAATGCTCAGAGACTGACTATGGAGTCAACTGGATAAATAGACGCTTAATACAGTAGGCCCCCAGTCCGAGACCCCAGCCGCACGCTGAAGTAAAGTACGCTATGTGCGAGGCGATATCCAAACTACCAACACACTGGCACCAAAACCTCCACCCTGCCTCTTCCAAGCATCCATTTCCAAAGCAACTCTCAAACATCTATCCTCCTTATCTCTCCTCTTTTTGTGTCTTTGTCACTCTCTTGTTATCACCTCAAGTCTTTGGCACTTATATTACACTAGCTGGGTACCCGTTTGATGAACGGACTCAAAAGAATCGATCGTCAAGTCATTGTGGAACCAGTGCGCACAGTTTGTGAACGGAAGCCCCACTTCTTACAACAGCGTCTTAGAAGTTGGACTTTCCAAAGATTAGATCTAAACAAAACTAATGAAAAACTAAAAATTAAACTACAGTGACTTCAGACTCCTTAACATAACTGTTCAAATGTTTCTGAACCACTGATCATTTTTTCCAATTCGAAAGCTAAGTGATTCGTAAGTTTTAAGTGACCAAAGTGACGAACTTTCACAAATATGATATAGATAGATTGCAGTGTTGATAGTGCCGTAAAACGCTACTAAAGCTTTAAAAAACTGCATTGTACTCCATAACAACATATATAACCCCCCCCCCCCCACTACTTAACATTTTATTGATGTCTGATTGCTTTATAACCCTCCTACATCCCCACATCACAAAATTTGGAGACAATGTTATCATGTATTTAGACATAACTTAAACCCACAGGGCAGTGCTACTGACTGAAGTGTCTTTAGGCCATTCCCAAAGGGGGGATATTAACATGCTCTTATGCCCAGTAGAATTGTAAATGGGCTGAGTCATCAATGTCATGCTCATACTGTTCCGGAACTGCAGATAGGGAACTGCTGCTTTTTTCCCTAATCCTTACTATCGTTATTTTCCTCTACTTCTTTTGTATTTTTATCACTCTCTTGTGACCGAAGCAGACATTGCTCTGTTGAAGCTAGAGAGGTGAGCAGAATAAGCCATATTCCCTCAATGAACTTCTCTTTTGACATCCACTCATTAGCTCTCATATGACCTTATGCAGTTGCGAGTGCCATAAAAACTTTCCTAAAACAAAAAATCATAACATTCCGCACCCCCTCCCCCATTCCCATCCCTCCTATTTCTTTTACACACACACACACACACACACACACACACACACACACAGAGAGAGAGAGAGAGAGAGAGAGAGAGAGAGAGAGAGAGAGAGAGAGAGAGAGAGAGAGAGAGAGAGAGAGAGAGAGTTATTTCACAGTTACACACTTTTGCCACCTTTAGCTGGCGGACATTCTCATCATACCGCCTTTCTACACTATTTACTTCCAAGCTGGGCATTAAATTACACCTTTGTCACGATTCGTGTGATCCCCACCCCCCTACCAATAATACCAACTCGCCTACTAGTGAGTAATACAGCTCACATTAGCAAGCATGCACTGGTTTACACACACTGCAAGATCCAACGTCATAATCTCGTACCCACTATAATAATATAGATAGCATTTGTATAGTGCAAATCCCCGCTCAACAGCAGGCTCTATGCCCTCCACAATCTATGCTATTACCCCAGCAGACCTGAGAACATTCTGAAACAACCTCGACTTCCAGGGAAGATTACAGTACAAGCAGCCATTTATAGTCACTAAAACACTAACATACTGACAAGATCTTTCGCTGTCTATAGCTGGGAACCCATTCTCACCTCGGTGAAGTGAGGAAATTTCACGTAAAACACATTTCCCAAGGACACAACCTTGGGCCCCTGATGGGAATAGAACCAACGACCTCACGGTTGAGAGTCCAAACATCTAACCATTACACCCCCCTCAACACTTACCAGTCTGTAGCGCCAGTGATGATTCTGTAGCGTAGCCCTGGCTCCGATTCCGTTCTCTCATTGTGCATCGTACAGCAAAGAACAGGACAAGGGCAATCAATGCCACGCCCGCCACACCGGCACACGCGTACCCGGCTATAGAAGCCTTGCTTTCGCTAGAGCCACCTTTTGGGAAAATAATGCAGTAGTAATCAGTGGTGTATAATTGCGCTACATATTAGAAATGACATCCATTAAGAATTTGTGCATTTTTCGAAATTAGCGAACCTAATTAAACTTTAATTTTCGTAATATTTACTGTTCATTTACATTAAAACATGTCCGCCCGTGCAGTTGCGGGGCCCCATCGTTTTACCTTGCGGGAGCAAAATATACACCTGCCGAGATACTGCGCGTTGTAAGAGGCGACTAAATGTGCAAGTACCAGTTTGTGGAGGGCCAGCTATCCGACCCACTAAAAACAGTCAGTTACACAAACACAGACAAACATGGCTTTTTATTTTCCAGTCTTAGGAGACGGAGGAGCTTCTGCGTCAGCAGGAACAATGAAGGACAGCGGACAAAGCCGAAAGGACTCTCCTGACCCGAAACCATCTACGTCAAAAAAGTCTCTCTGGATTGCGTCGTGGAATTTTCAAACCTTGTATGAAGTAGGCAAGAGTTCTCAAATGGCACAAGAGATAAAGAGATACAGGCCGCACATATTAAGAGTCAGCGAAAGCCACTGGATAGAGTCAGAACAGAAGCAGCTCAGCTAGGTGGAACAAATATTGTAGTCTGGGAGGGAAGACATGCACCATGCGAAAGGAGTGGGAATCATTTTGAGTAAGTATGCTCAGAAGTCACTTAGAGGATGGGAACCGCAAGATGGGAGGATCACGATGGCTTCATTCACTTCAAGGAGCAAGAGCATCAACATGAATATAGTCCAGATCTACACCCCAAGAAATGATGCTTCGGATGAAGACAAGGATCCCTTTTGCAGCTGACCCCAGAGGGCCATTAACAAACTACGAAGGAAGGGTGTCAACATCATAATGTGAGATGCTAATGCTAAGATTGATCAGGACAACGTAGGGTTTGAGAGAATTATGGGACAACAAGGCTTGGGAACAATAAATGAGAACGTTGAGCGATTCGCAAATATATGTGCTTTCATCGTTTTGTCATTGAAGGCTCCGTTTTTCCCCAATTCCAAAGGCTACAAGGGTTTCGCCAGATGGAGTGACGGAGAGCCAGATAGATCATTTTTGTATCTCTCATAGGTTCAGGCATTCACTGGAAGATGTCATGGTACAGAGAGGGCAGATGTTGGATCGGATCATCATCTGCTGTTGGCAAGACTCAAGCTTCAGCTAAAAAAGCACGGAACCAGCACAGAAACCAAAAGGACCAAGTTCCAAGTAAGTTTCTGGGAGGGACACAAGAAAGAAGAGTTTCAACTGCAGTTGAAGAACAGATTTCAACCTCTGGCAGATCTTGGTGGAGTGGACAGGGAGGTGGAAACACACTGGACCAAGGTCAAAGAAGTCTTTACATCAGCATGTCAAGAAGTACTCGGTGTGAAGAAATGGGAGCACAAGGAATGGATAAGCCAACGCTCATTGGATTTAATCAGGATAAGAATACAATTGAAGGTAGAGGCGAATGCAAGTAGAATAAGAGGATCAAGAGTGGATGCATTTGAACAGTACAGGACAACAGCTAAGGATGTCATAAAATCACCAAGGAAAGACAAGGAGGAATTCATGAACAGGCTGGCAGAGAAGGCGGAGGAAGCAGCGGTAGGAGGCCACATTCAAATACTTTACCAGACGACAAAGACTCTTGCTGGAAAATACGGGAAACCTAGAGTGACAGTAAAGGACTTAGACGGGAAAACCATATTGGAAAGGAAGCTCAGTTGAGATGATGGGTAGAGGATTTCAACAGTCTCCTGAACAGACCACCACCGAGTAACCCGCCGAACATCCTGCCAGCAAGAAACGAGATACCAATCTGCTGTGCTGCTCCTTCAAAACAAGAGATTCTGGATACCATTAAGAAGCTGAACAGAGGTAAAGCGGCCGGTCCTGATCAGATTTCACCTGAAACCCTAAAAGCAGATGCCAATGTGATGGCAGACCTCCTCCTCCCACTGTTTACCAGGATCTGGAATGAGAGCAAGTTCACAATGGATTGGAAAGAAGAACACATTGGGAAGCTTCCAAAAGGGGGATCTCAGCAACTGCAGCAACTGCAGAGGGATCACTCTTCTCTCAATACCAGGTAAGGTCTTCAACAGAATCATTCTGGAGAAAATCAAGACTGCAACGGATCCAAGACTACGAGATGAACAGGCTGGTTTCCGCAAAAATCGCTCAACCACCGACCAGATTGCAACACTGAGGATCAATGTGGAACAGTCCCTGGAGTAGAACTCCCAGCTTATCGTCAACTTCCTTGACTATGAGAAAGCCTTTGACAGTATAAACCGAGCAACACAGTGGAAGATAATGAGACATCACAAAATACCACAGAAGTTGGTAAATCCCATCAATAGCATGCACGAAGGGACAAGTTGCAGGCTTGTACATGATCGCTAGCTCACTGACAACTTTGACATCGAGACTGGTGTGAGACAGGGATGTTTATTATCACATTTCCGCTTCATATTGGCAGTCGTTAGGCTGATGAAGGAAACCACCAGAGGACACAGGAATGGAAGACAGTTGACCCCATGGACACAGTTGGACGATCTGGATTTTGCGGACGATTTGGCGCTTCTGTAGCACACCCAGGAACAGATGCAAGCAAAGACGTCCGTATTAAACTGCCGATAAGAGTCTGTTGGATTGAGGATCCACCCTGGAAAGTCAAAGGTCCTAAGGACAGATGCACAAAGAAAGGAGCAGGCCACAATAGAAGGAAATACACTAGAAGATGTTGAATCCTTCAACTATCTTGGGAGTATAATTGACAGAGAGGGAGGAACGGGTGCTGAAATTAAGTCCTGCATTGGAAAAGCACAGGCTCCTTTCATTTCTTTGGATATGATTTGGAAGACCAGAGATATCTCACTTCCAAAAAAGCTGAGGACTTTCAATTCAAATGTGAAGTTAGTCAAGTTGTAAGGATGTGAGACATGGAACGCATCACAGCCTTGCATGAAGAAGATCCAGATTTTCTTGAACAAGTGTCTTCAGAAAGTTACTGAGGATCAGATGGACAGACAAGGTAACCAACGAGAAAGTGTTAAGGAAAACAAGACAGATCCAAGTCAGAGATGAGGTTGGAAGAAGGCGGTGGCGATGGATTGAACATACTCTCATGAAGTCAGACAGCTGCATAACAAAGAAAGTTTTCGATTGGAATCCACAGGTAAAGACATCAAAGTGAAGACTGCGTGGAACCTGAAGAAGAATTACAGAAATTGATGTACAGAAAAGTGGGAAGACATGGAATAACACCAAGAGGCTTGCCCAGGATACAGAAAGGTGGAAAGTGTACAGGGTGAGAAAGGCAATAATGACTTTTAAACATAGTTATAATATATGTTATTATCTAAACCTCATTAGAAAGATACTACATTACTTTTTAGAATACATGCCTCTTTTTCTGAAATACTGTTGTATTGGGTGGGACTAGGGTTAGGGAGTGCACAAAAAATAGCTGGGGCTGGAAGGGTTAAACTTTATAGTGCAGTCAAAAATTAATTTGTGGCTCAACTTATTGTCAGATAATGTCTCCTTAATTGTCGAATATAGGTTCTCAAACTTTTGCACAGCGACTTGTATCAATAATTTGTCTTAACAGATAAATAATTGTTTCAAACACCTGTACACCGCACTCTAAAAAAATCCTTAATAAATACAAATAAAAAGTCCTGGCCGATGGTTTCTACAGATTTTAATAAGATTACAGATGAGGCAATATCGTATTAAAAAGCAAGTCCGTTTTTTTTACGTTTTGCCACTAACAGGTGTCATTGGCGAGCTGTGATATTGGCCATTAATATGTGTATGCAAAATGTGTGTTGAAAGCGAGAAGTGCTGTGAAAAATCCCATGTTCAGCACGACAAAGATTTATAGTATTTTAAACAAATGTATAATCATAAAGAAAGTTGTTTTTTTTAATTTAGCCTCTATTAATGTGGAAAAATATGATTAAATTAAGTCAAACTGATACTGCTGTGCAAAGTGTGGGCGACACTGGTTCACTCGTTAAAGAGATATTTGAGGATAAGTTGTGCCACAAATTTTTGACTGCACTCTAGTAATAGTAAGAGCTTGACAGCACTTGTTACAGACACTGGTCATAGAAATATTGACAATTCCAGGTGATCACAGAGAGTAACACACACAGAAAAAAAGGAGGAGAGATAATGGCTAGAGATAACCACACCAGGACACCTGCCAACCACCCACTGTCACCTACTGTAATCATTGGTAGTAGTAATATTGCGATTGCTCAATACAGGGTGGAAAGCTAACTAACCATTTTTAAAAAAAATGAAAGTGACAACGTATAGTGCAAATAATAGAATCCCCCGAATCATAAACCTGAAAAATAAATAATATTATGTGTCATGATGTGGTGGAATCAGGCGTTTGTCAATTTTTGGCCAAATGAAGTCATTGATATCATCTTAAAGCTTGTTAACTTGTCTTGCCTTAGAAGAAAAAAACCCAATGAATAATAAATAGAAGTCGAGAAATTTGTGATTGAAGGAGGAGGAGGTCGTCTGGTTTCTGAGATAAAATTTGCGAGAAAATGGCCGCCAAAGTTAGATGAGTTCCAAAGTTTGAGATCCTTTGGTAACGGAAAGTTTTGGGGGTTTTTTTGTGTGCCTTTAGTCAACATTTTACAGTAAAATCAATACTGAAATACGTTTTTAAATGGACGTAAAAAGTGAGCAAAAAATTAAATTCAATAATAATTGTTAGTCCGATGGAAAATTGCCTGTTTCTTCGAATTCATAATTTTGACGAGCGCCTGATTTCACCACAATGCATCACATATTTATTCACTTTGTTGCCCTCTGTGTGGAATGTTGGGTTATAATGGTACATACGACATACCAACATATATACCTAGATTCATACACTTCTAAACACATAAATAAACACACAAATAGACATAAGTATCATACAAATATGGGGTGCTCCGTTAGCCTAGTTGTTATCATGCTGGGCTATGAAGTGGTGAGCCAAACTGGGCGTTATTGAACTGATCGTCTTTTTGTGAAGTTTTCAGATCAAGGCTCTTCCCAAATTTAGCTTGGTCCAGTCCGATGAGGACATTAAATTCGGAGGTCCCGCCTCTTGCATAGTTTTCTAGTGTTGATGGGGGCGTTAAACCCTTACACATTGTTGGGCGGTACTCAGAGGCAACTGTGCGTGTTCCCTTTAACATAGAGTATCTATATCTAGCTTAAGATCATTATTGTTTATACAACGGTTCATTTATATTATGCATGTGACTGTAAGCCTGCGTGTGTGAAAAATGTTTGTGTGTGTATGTGTGTATATATGTGTGTGTGTGTGTGTGTGTGTGTGTGTGTGTGTGTGTGTGTGTGTGTGTGTGTGTGTCTATGTGTGAACGTTTTGAAACCTCAAACCAAAATGCCAGAATCTTGACAACAAAGATGTATCTTATGTAATCTTATTTTATCACTTTACACTTTACACCAACAACGACAATATCACAGACACATCAGTGCTTGTGATATAAAACTACGCTTAAACTTAAACACAAACGGGAAGATAGTGAAAAGGAAGAAGGTGAAATGGTATGGGTTTAACCCCTCTATCAACACTATTAGGGTATATTTGAGAAGCGGGATCTCCAAGTTAAACGTCCATCTCTGAAAGGTACTTGCCAAATGGGAATTTCATGTAAAGTGCCTTTCCCAAGGACACAACATTGGATTGAGCTAAGGCTCGAACCTCCGAACCAGCAACCTCACGATTACCGGTCCGGTAGCCTAACTACTAGAGGTCAGCGACGCCACGGGGAAGATAGTCCACTTATTGTAAACACATGAGGAGCAAGTTGTGACATAAACCACCCCAGGGGAGAAAAAAAAGGAATGTCAAAGACTCCGGACTGCTATCCAAACAGATACCATATCCACACAATGCGTGGAATTGTGATGTAATCAGGCGCTTGTCAAAATAATTAAATCGAAGAAACTGGTCATAATTTTTTCTCACGTTCATAATTTTTTACAAGGTTTTCTTTACCCATTTTACGTTCTTTTAGAAATACATTTCTTTAAGGACTTTTTTTGTAAACACGTTAATTAAGGGTACAAAAAATTAAATCTGAAGTTTTCAAAGACATTCAAGCTTTGGAAGTCACCAAATTTCGGTGGCCATTTTCTCGCTAATTTTACCTCTGACATCAGGCAAACCCTTTCCCCTTCCTCTTCAAGAATTTCCAATTCTTTTCAAGACAAATGGGCATTTTTACCTCAAAAGAAAGACAAATGAGCAATCTTCCAGATGATACCAACAATACCATATCCCTAAGACCAACAAGCTCCTAATTCCACCGCGATGTGATACATAATTTGGTGGACGTACTAAGTTTTCGAATACTGAGCCTGCCAATATTTATGATTTTTAAATCTTGTTGGGTTTTATTTTCTTGTCGGTTATTGTTTTTAATCTTTGAGTCCTGCCTGCATTACATAGAAAGACAGAATAAAATGGTTTAACCACCTGTTACGTATGTCACCTGACCAGCCAGCCTCAAGAGCCTGCAACCCCTGGCACTCAGGTTATAAAGGAAGAGGAAGGCCACGCAAAAGGTGGATTGAGGGTGTCAAGAAAATCCTGAGAAAACATAATATCACAACTGAAAGAGCTGCGGAGCCGGCCTACCATAGAAAACTGAAGCTCCCCTCGACGCTTAACGGCAACAGAGGATGAAAAAGTAAAAGTAAAAGTAAGTATAGTTTTTAATTAACCTTTTTTGCCGGGAGAGTGAACAGCCTGCAGACGTAGCCGGAACTTGGCGCCCTGACCAGAGGTGTTGGTGTGAAAGGAAACAACAACTTCGCTACTGTGCTCTGGCAGAGTGTAGGGTGAGTTGCTGTTGTTGCACAGTTTCTCCTTGGCCGAGTCGCTCGGTTCTGGAACAAGTCGACAAACATGTTGCACAAAATAACAAGTCATAATAATAATATTGATAATAATATAATATTGAAAATAATAATAATATTGATAATAATAATAATAATAATGAT